CACCTAGAAGCCAACCAGTAGTTTTCTAATCTGGCTAGTTTTATGTGGCTTGTTTGGCTACATTCGCTCTTCTTTCGTGTTTGTGTGAAAACCCGATCCGCCAGCGATCAGCGTGGCCAACTGGATGTACGAGGAATTTTCCGGATGGCTTTAGTCGTGTTTATGGCTTTGGGTGTCGGGGTCCTGGGCGACGGTTGTGTCCACAAGCAGAGAGGCTGCTTTTCACGGAGTGGAGTTGGGGATTGGCTTCGCTTCTTGTCCCCGCACCTCTGGCTCAGTCCAGTCCAGAGACTGTAACTTTGCTGACGAGTGCACGGCTGCAGCTGTGTCCTCTGACACGGAGATAAGCGTTGATCGCTCCGCGCAGTTTGGGCGCTGTTTGTATGTGGGGTTTGCCTCCTCCTGGACGTTCCTGAATTTGGTGGGCGAGGGGCCTGTGGTGGTCGAATAAAAACTGCTGTCCGGTGACGCAGCTGGTTTCTTCGGCCTGATTTCGGGAGCGCAGGGGGATGTGACCACAATCGGCTTGGTCATGAGTTCGGGTTCGTCTGATTTGGTGCCCAGTGGAAGCCTGTTTCATGCTTCCACTCCTGACCTGGTATGGTCAAGCTTACGCGCGTCTAGAGGACGATCCTCAGACAGGCGCCTGATCATTGGGTTGGCCTTTCGGATGCCTCCAGCCCGCTCCAAGATCTCCTGTGAGCCGGACTGGGAGGAAAGAGTGACTAGAAGTCCAAGGGTTCGCTTACTTCCCTTCTGGGGTGGCCATTCTGCGTGGAGCGATTTATCAGGCTTGCTAAGGATCGACGGTGCCAGCTTCGCTGGCGTGATTTTTCCGGATAATAGCCCCTAGATTGTAGTGTCTGTAATCCGTTGTCAAATTTTTCATTCTTCCCGAACTTGAACCACACTTTGTAACCGTCGTTCACATTGTATCATGGCGTTTGTTTTAATCTTACGAATACACGATTTTCCGGTGTGACCTGCCGACTTCTTGCTCAGCGAGTGTATACACGCTCCGTTGAACTGTTTGTTGACTGCTGAACAGTGGTACCAGATCTCTGTGTTTGTGTCAACTGTTGAACGTCACAATAAATCCCTGTGACATTTTTAGCCGTGAATAATTTTCCTACCGTGGAATATATCATACACGCGGAATCATCTGTGGGAAATTCCGACAAGTGAATATTTCCTTTCACAGCCAGTTGCTGCATTTGGATCGGTGTAGTGGGCTATTGGATCTCCACATTGGTGAGTCCCCATTTGACTACTCATTCTTTTCCTATTGTGATTTTGTGATTTTGTATTGGTTACTTT